TGCCGCCTCCATCCGCTGTGGAGGCGCCGTCGACACCGACTGGTGCATCTCCTTCGAGCAGATCCTGGCCTCCATTCTGACAGAGTCTGTGCTGGTGAACTTCTTTGAGAAGAGGGTAGACATTGGACTCAAGATCAAGGACCAAAAGAAGGTAGAGAGACAGTTCAGCACCTCCAGTGACCACGAGCAGTCGGGGGTCTCGGGCTGATGGCTCTGCCGATCAATCGGGGGCCGGCCTCTCTCTCCTCCCTCCTTCCCTCCAGTTCTGTTTTCTCCTTAAGGACACAGCCCTCCTGTTCTCCCCAGAAGCAGTGAGTTGTAAATGGAAAGAAGGCTGAGCAGCCACACTTGGGACCCAGGCAGAGGCTCCCTGCCCCCCTGTTCCTGCCTGCCTGGTGGGCCCTGCCTTGGGCCCTGCGTGGTGACAAACTGAGGCTCTCAGACTGGCCTGTGCTGTGGCCAGGCCACGCTGCCTCCTTTGCCCACGGGCGGACTTCTGCTGCTATGTGCTCTGGGGGGCTTTCCTGCCACTTGGTGCCAGGTAGGGGTGTCACATGATTGTTGGGCACCAAAGTGGTGGGACCTTCAAGGTGCTCTCCAGGAGCCCCTGAGCCTGAGCTTCTGGCTGAGGGACACGGGCAGGAAGTGTCCACTGCACTGGGGTGGGTGCCACACAGGCGCTGCTCTAAATGCCCTTTCAGCTCATCATCCTCACCATTAACTTTAAAAGCACATCCCTCAGGTCCCAATATATTTTCTTGTGTTCATTTCAGTTGGCTAAAAATCACACTGTGCTCAATGCCTTAATAAAATGCCTGAAAGAACTAAAAACCACGCTGTGTACAGAGCCTTAATGTGGCCCTCAGCCTCTGCTTGGGGCTCCTGACTTCTTCCCAGGCAGGTGTGGGCCTAGGCCGTGTTCCAGAGGTTCCAGGCACTTAGACCCCCACGGGCGGTGGGGGTTCAAGGCCCCCAGGGAGAGCGGGGACACGGGAGGTGCTGGTGCAGGCTGAGCAGGGCCTGTGCTGACTATGCTGTGGGAAAGCCCGAGCTCGGCAGGTATCAACAGCTGGTCCAGTGCAGGAGGCGTGTGCTCGGGCCTGGACTGCAGCTAGCCCTCGGGTCAGGAAGCAGACTGTGGGGCCACAGCACCACGAGGACCCCCTCACTTTGCAGCCACGTTTGCCCCACACATGGGGCTTCTCTTCTGCTAAAAGATACATCTCTGTGGCTGTTGTTTGTTTTTTTTTTCATTTAATAGCTTTATTGAGGCATAATTTACTACCATAAAATTTGCTTATTTATGGGCCGGCCCTGTGGCTTGGTGGTTAAGTGCACGCGCTGCAATGCTGGTGGCCCGGGTTCGGATCCCGGGTGCGCATCGAGGCACCGCTTCTCCGTCCATCCTGAGGCCGAGTCCCACATACAGCAACTAGAAGGATGTGCAGCTATGACATACAACTATCTACTGGGGCTTTGGGGGGAAAAAATTAAATAAATAAAATCTTTAAAAAAAAAAAAAAAAAAAAAAATTTGCTTATTTTAAGTTACAATTCCGGGGCCGGCTCCGTGGCTTAGCGGTTAAGTGCGCGCGCTCTGATGTTGGCGGCCCGGGTTCGGATCCCGGGCGCGCCCCGAGGCACCACTTCTCCGTCCAACGCGAGGCCGAGTCCCACGTACAGCAACTAGAAGGATGTGAACCTATGACATACAACTATCTACTGGGGCTTTGGGGGGAAAAAAATGAATAAATAAAATCTTTAAAAAAAAAAAAAGTTACAATTCCATGATTTTTAGTAAATTTACAGAGTTGTGCAACCATCACCACAATGCGATTTCAGAATATTTCCATCACCCCAGAAAGACCCCTTTTGCAGTGTGCAGCCAGTCCCTCTTCCCACCCTCAGCTCCAGGAAACCACTATTATGCTTTCTGTCTCTATAGATCTTACAGCTGGTTTTAAAAATAACAATCTCCATGATTTCACCTTGTTCACAGCTGGTGGGCCACGTCTCAATACACGCAGCAAAACAACATCAAGGAAACCGAACAACTGTTGTCTTTCTTAACAACAAAAAACGTCATTAATTAATCAATGTAATTTCCTTTCTAGTGTTTATACAAACTGACCATATGCTTTGCCATCAAGTAATTTCAAAGGATTCTTACCAGAAAGACTATGTTCTTGGCCATAATGAAATTAAGATATACATAAGAATCCCGCACAGTTGGCAGTTTAAAGTCTTAAGTTGGGCCAGCCCCGTGGCTTAGCGGTTAAGTGCGCACGCTCCGCTGCTGGCGGCCCGGGTTCGGATCCCGGGCGCGCACCAACGCACCGCTTCTCCGGCCATGCTGAGGCCGCGTCCCACATACAGCAACTAGGAGGATGTGCAGCTATGACATACAACTATCTACTGGGGCTTTGGGGGGAAAAATAAATAAATAAAAATTATTAAAGTCTTAAGTTGATTGTAATCAATTACAAAGATTTAAATAATTTGGAATTTGGATAAATGTTTTATAAACCACGTAGAAGTATAAATTTGGAAATATACCAAAGAAATTAAACAGAAGAATATAAAAGAGGAACCTAGCCTTTTCCTATCATAAAAGAATGTACAAAAATGTACAACAGTACTTTCATCTATTTCTCATTCTACCTGGGATGATATTCAAGATATTTAACAACCAGAGCAGTAACACTAAATAACATATGGATCATACAAATAAAGTTTTAAATATATTTTTATTATATAAGTAAACATAATTGTATATTTTAAAACTGTTTACCCAGGCTGGCCCCGTGGTTTAGCGGTTAAGTGCGTGCGCTCCGATGCTGGCAGCCTGGGTTCGGAGCCCGGGCGCGCACCGACTCACTGCTTCTCCTCCGGCCATGCTGAGGCCGCGTCCCACATACAGCAACTAGAAGGATGTGCAGCTATGACATACAACTATCTACTGGGGCTTTAGGGGGTGAGAAAAAAAAAACAAAACTGCTTACCAAGTGGTATGTTGTACCAAACCATTCATTCATATAATCTCCAAGAAAAAAATATGTATGTGAATTTTTAAAGGCGTACATGTTTATTGCTTTTAAAAGGAGGAAAAAATACAGAAAAGTAGAAAAATAATTTTTCCTACTAGTCAGTAGGATTTTGATTTTTTTTCTATATTTTATCTTTTTCAAGGTTAAACTCATACTATATATGAAATTTTTATTCTCTTTTCATTAAGAATAAAACATTCTTTGCAGATGCCTTCTGCTCTCAGCCACAATAACTCAAGCATGTGGAAATAAACAAAGACTCAAATGAGAACAGGGACTATTTATCAAGAGCTTGCTATAGAAAAGGAGTCCACCGCCATCACTTGTGTTTGGCAGAGACTCAAAGGCAGGCAGGCAGGCAGAGGAGTGGGAAAGCCTTACACTGAAACCAAGGGAAGGCTTCAGGTGTGCTGTTTAGAGGCTGTTGGCAAGAAGCTGAGGCAGGCTAACCAGATGTCTTCTGCAATTAGTTTGAGGAGCATAACTGGCTTTCTCTGGTTGGTCCTGAGATGGGGGGAGGTGCAAAAAATAGGGAAACGCAGTCATTGACTAAGTCCTGACTGCTGTAGAGGTTAGTTTGGCTTGGGGGAGGGGAGTGGAGCTGCTGCAGAGGTTGTCACATGTGATCTGGTCATTGTCCGTTTGTACATTCAGTCTCTCAAACATGATGTTTTAAGCTAATTTGTCTTTTTCTAATAATACTATTGTGCAAAACTTGGAAAATATGAAAAATTTAAAATCATCTATAACTCTAACCCCCTACACCTGGAAATAAATAATGCCTGGCTTTACATAACTGAAACGTACACTTTCCTTGTAACCTCCTTGCTTGCCAACAAGACATATGCCATCATTTTCACTTCAGACTCAGACTCTTTGAAATGGACCTGAATGATGGTCCATGCTGAGTTATCATAAGCAACCATTCTTTAGAACCTTTATTTCCATTTTTTCCTTTTATACTTAAGTGAACACTAGTACATAAATAATAAATCTGAGTGATTCCGATTGTTTTCTTAGGATCAAGGTAATTGCCAAATTGTTTTCCATTCTACTAGCATCCTATGAGAAGGGCTCCTCTCATCACATCCTCGTCAGGACTGGGTGTTATGATTTTCTTTTCACAAGATGGTTTACGTTGTTAGGCACGTGTGACTATCTTGGCGGGCCGGCGTTATAAGGTCTTGGGGCGGCTGGGACAGAAGGAGTGCCATACTCTTCTTGCCCAGAGTGGGTCGCGGTGGGGCTTTCCGGGGGTGCTGCAGGAGGGACTGATTTCATTTTCAGCCGCCTCCTGTCTCCGTCTCCTTCTCCGGGAAGCGTGAGACTGGTAAACTGCCTGTTTTCCCGGGACTCTCGGTTCTCCGGCCGTACCGGCTTGGACTCAAAGGTTAACTGACTGCCTCTGTCCAGAGGTCCTGCAAATTCCCACCACAGGCCCCAGGGGTGGGCCGGAGCAGGGAGGCGTCCTCCAGCTCCCTCTCTGCGACGTGAGGAAGCAGAGGGAACGGGACGGGCTGGAGGCTCTGCCCTTGCAACGTCAATCTCCCCAGCGAGCCTAATTGCAAACGGTGGCTTGGAAAAAGAGGGGAACTGGCTGGGCTCAAACAAAGAGTCGGTGACCCGGCTAACGCAAACTCCACACAACACCTGACGCGCAGCAGAGGAAGGGCCCCAGTCGGCCTCCGGGGCCCATAGGCGGCGGCGCTGAGGCTAGAGGAGCCCGGGCGCGTGCAGGGGGCGAAGCCGGGCCGGGCATAGGCAGCACGCACATAGGAGGCGGTGCTGGGGGCTAGAGGAGCCCGAGCGCGTGCAGGGGGCGGAGCCGGGCCGAGCCGGAGCACAGGGCGCACGCGCATAGGAGTCGGCGCTGGGGCTAGAGGAGCCGGAGCGCGTGCAGGGGACAGAGCCGCGCGCGCAGAGAAGTGGATCGCAAGCACGCGCGCGTGCGCCTCGGTGACCGCGGCCGTAATGGCGCCGCTTCCGCAGGCGCGGGTCCTGCGTTGCTGCAGCTGCCGCCTCTTCCAGGCGCACCAGGTGGGGCGGGCCCCGGCCTCCTCTCCTCCGGGCGCGGGGACGACGATCGGGACACGCGGGGCCGCGAGGGACCGGGCCTTGTCCCGCGCCCTGCCCCCCAGGCGTGCGCGCTGTCTCGTGCGGTTGCGGGGTGTGCCTGGGGCCCTGAGAAGTGAAGATGACTGTCCTGAGGACCGGGTTTTATTGATGTCCCTTCTCCATAACGCCGTTCTGGGCTTCTTTCGTTTTTTGCTTGGTTGTTGTAAGATTCGTAGAAACCATGGGTAATGGTTTCTGCGGAGGCGGCCTTGTGAGTTCTAGCAGGTAGCAGGGAAAACCAGGTTGAGGATAGCCTCCTTTCTGCAGCGCCCAGCCCCGAAAGTGGCTCTTTCTTTAAATACAACGGAGATGACAGGTTTTTTTTTTTTTTTTTTTTTTTT